CTGCAGTTTCGAGCAGAACAGAGCCCATGTGAACTGCAGGCAGCAGTTCCCAACAAGAGATGGTAAGCAAAGAAGTGATTTTGTAAGTTGTGTTGATTCAAGTATTCCAGGATGTTCCATTGTGCAGAGTGCAGGACAGCTGGAGGAAACAGGTTTAAAGGCATGGAGGAAACAAATGAAAGAATACGTTGCATACCAGCCTTACACAAACAGGCTCCATTTCAACTTGCTTTACAATTGAATTCTGTCTTCTGCACCACTACATATTTTCCTTTAAGTGCCTTAACTAAATAGCAGTAACCTGATCACAGATATTAGACTAAACCAGGTTTTATTTCCTTTGTTTTAGGCTTGCCAATTGATGTGAATTGAAGAGCTGCAAGGAGTGGATATGAACGCTAAACAATAACTCAGTGCTGAGAGGGGGAGCGTGGCTGTGTTCCCCCCACCTGGTTGGGCAGCTCAGGTTCTCCTCCTGGCTTTTTTCCTTTACACACAGAACACATCACCTATGAGTTATCCATGAAGTTATTCATGATCATTTTGAATGATCCCCCTACAAAAAAGAGAGCAAATTTCTTTATGAAGCAGAAAACTTTAATACTCCTGTATTAAAGTCACTAATTAACAGAGGAAAGAATCAGAATAAATTCTGTGGATTTCCAAATTATAACGTGTACTTCACAATGCTGGAGCGAGCCCTGCTGTGTAAGCTTTTCTTTTGAGAACTACTTCTGTGATTTTACCTCGGGTCTCCTTACAAGTTTGGCTCCTGGGCCTGGCTCACCGAAACAAATGTGATTTTAAAGAGCATTCAGTAGTCCTGGCAGGAAAGAGGGGTGTGGGGGTATTTGTTTCGTAATGATTCACGCCAACAATGCTTTGGGGTTTTTTTTTTTTTTTGGGAAAAGCTAACAAACTCACGATTGCACGATGTGTCTGATTTTCAGTGCTCCCATTCTGAGTTCAGCTCATTTTGCACAGGGCCAGAACGTGACTCCCTCTGGCTGTGTGCTGCTGTGCTCTCCGGAGGCCAAAATGCGACCTCTGGCCACAGCCAAGCCCTGGAACCAATTCACAACAAAAGCAAGATGTTGAACCCTCCAGCCCAGATAAACCCCAGTGGGCTCTCTAAAGTCAGCCCAGTCAATGAAGGCACTGTCTTTGCAACGTGCTTGTCTTGAAAGGCAGTTTTCAGTCCTTTCTCAAGGCCTGAAGTTATTGCCACGCTCCTTCTCTCTGCTGCAAAACACCCGAGAAAGAATTAGGTGACAAACCCACATATTTGAAAAAATCCCAGCTCTTTTCTGACCTCCGTGCACAAAGCATTCCTATTGTACCTCACATTTCCTGTTTGTGTTGCCCTGCAGCCCAGCCACCGAGCAGAGCTCTCCGGCAGTTGCTCCACTTGGCTCTATCAGCAAGAGAGCAGAGATAGGGATTTAAAAAAACAAAAACACAAACAATTGCAGACAGCCAGAACTCACGCTGCACTTCTGACCTGTAAGGAATTCGCTCCCATTCATCCCCCAGCACTACAGATCGTAACACAGCATATATACAGAAGGGACATGTATCAGCTGGCTCTCACACGAGGCTTTCTGATGGGCATGAATTCTAAGCTGATCTCCTTTCCCTCGATCACATCATCTGCAATCCATTGCCAGAGCTGAACTGAAACCAAGTCAGCAATACGAAGATGGTAGAGGGCAGCTCCAGCCCAGCACCCCACCAGCACTGCCTGCTCCTTCAGTCCACAAGCACGAGCAATTCCTGAGCAGTCACCTCCCAGCAATTAAGCTATTCATGCCATTTGTCTTTTAATATACCAGCAATATAAGAACAGACATATCGAGTCTAAACTCTGCCCCAGAAACGACAGCCCTGTATGCTGCTAAACCCTTGGAGTCATTAATCCTAATAGCTTTATTTCCTACAGCACCACATCGTGATTACTATTTTTAAAGTGTTTTTAAAGAATCCTGAAATGACTTTAATGGGCTTTGGGAATAAAAGCCAGCAGACTTGTTTTGAATGTGTCAGAATAAAGAGGATTCTTGGAAGAGCAGCCGGTTTTCACACTGCTGTGCTGAAACCTGCTCTGTGCCAGCCCTGTGCTCGGTGCCAGCTGCAGCTGGGGGATCCTTTCTCAAAAGCTATGTTGAATTTTACACTTACTGCTGGCTACAACCGAGCAGACAGCACTGAGCTGGGAACCAACACAGCAGATAACATTAAGATCCTCTAATTATATATAGCAAGTCCTTGAATTGCAGAAATTCCAGTTTGATCGCAGGCTTTTTATTGCCAAAACCCACCTTTCCCTCTCAGACCAAGATGCATTCAGCAAGAGCGTTCTGGTGACCAACAAAATCAGAAGCAGATGTGAGCTGACAGCACTGGGGGCAGTGCTGTGCCCCCAGAGGCTGCTCAGGATTGCAGGCTCTGCTTTAAGCCAACCCGTTGTTTCCTAACCTTCACCCCGGATCTCTCCTACAACAAAGCGGCTGGCGTAGATGCTCTGAAGAATCCAGATAAATGATAGTTCTCAGCACTGGAAAAAAGCTCACAGGGCCAGGAAAGCAAACAGAGTCACTCACGTATTGCATCTATTGCACAACTAGTGAAATGCCCAGTTACCAGGCTGTGCTCACAGACAGCGTGCTGTGAACGAGCTGCAGGCACCAGTAGGGTTATATTTACAAGAGATGCACCTGTGTCACAGCTGAAGCAACTCAGCACACTGCACCAACAGGTGCCTACATGCCAGCAATTCCTACCCCTCAGCCCTCGATGGCAAAGACAATGCTGCAAGCACCAACAAGAGCCCAGCAGCTCATGGGTGGGCCCGAGAGCATTGTTCTCCAGGCATGTAATTGCATTCCCAACAATCTCACCCTACACACAGATTTGAAATGAGCAATTAATTATGAGCAATTTTAAAACACTTACAGAATCTCTTCTCTGCTGCCTGCAAATCCAGGCACTGAAACAGGAGGGTTTTTTTTTTGTTTTTTTTGTTTTTTGTTTTTGTTTTTTTAACTTTTAATTTCTTTAAATCAATGGAAGAATGAGGTTTGCCATAATCAAGAAACATAATTAAAGTATATGAAACATGGAAAGATATGTATTAATGTGAAAGTTAATACAGTGACTTCACCACAGCTATTAGATTTCGACTTTTAGAGGAGCCTGTTGCACAATTAGAACAATAAATTATTTTAAAACTCCTTTTGAAAGCTGGAGCTCCTAAGTGCTTTGTTCACAGAGGGTTAAATCCAGGATTCCTGAAATAATTTACCTGTAAAAGTGACAGCAACTGCCTTAAGTTCCTGTTCCCTTTCACACAAGGTGTAGCCTCAAGCTCAGTGGGTATCAAGGACTGGACTATATTACTGAGTGTATTACATATGTGTATTGCTGCTGCTGTACTGACAACAGATCTGGTATTTAAAATGGCAACGTGCAGTCAGGGCAATCAGCCTGTGTTCCTACATTCCCACTGCCATCTAGTGGCACGCAGCCACATGTGTTCCACCACATTAAGGACCCTCCTGCGTCCAGAGATGCATTTAATCCCCAGAAGTGTATTTGTTCTGAACTTAACACCCTTGCTAATCGCTAATTAAGCCAACAGAGACTTAAATGTCAGAGCAGGTTGTGGCCTAACACAGCCACTACGTTCATGGACCCCGCAGGAAAACCCAAGCGATGTGTTACGACACTGAATGAAAGTAACTCAGAACTAAGGAAACAGCCCTATTTCCAACAACAGAATGAAAGAAAGCTCAGTCCATTCCACCTTCCTTCAGAAAAAGAAAATAAAAAGTGCTGGCTTATAAAGATTTCCTTATAGGACAGCAATGTGGGAGCAGCCCATGGTACAAAACAGGAGCCCTTCCTATTCTGCTTCCTATCGATGTACAACAAAACATAATCCAGTATCAGATTGCAAACAATGGAAAGCATCAGTTAATTACTAGATTTCTGACACAACTGTGTAAAAACTGAAACTAGGAACAATACCATGAACTCTCCAAACGGCTCCCAAGAGGATGCCATCCCTTTGGTTAGAAGAAATCTTGCTTATAAGCTGTGTGTGCATTAACTCGTTTCTGTTTCGCAGCACTTTCCTTTCTCCTGTACTTTCAGCCTTTAGGAGAGAAGCCACATCAACAGGCTGACACTGCTGCAGATGCAGCTGATACAGACGCCACTGGATTTCATAGGCACTGCTTCACTGCGTGGAAAAACACGAGTTCCTTGTTTCCTGTAGTGCTTTCTGTGTTATTGTTAATGATTAAAGCAGTTCTGAAAGTAAACATCATCTGTAATTGTCCCAAATACAAGATGACATTTGTTGCATAAACTGGTTTTAATTATTTTGTGGCCATGAATCCTTTTCTTAAATCCAGGACAGTGGTTTCATAAACAAGGAACTAATCCAATGGCCAAAAGCAAAACACAGCCAGACATTTCCCCAACTTTCCTAGCTGAGCTGAGATAAACAACATCAGATACACTTTCAGAACAACACAGAGTATTTTCTCTTTGTAGGCAAACATTTTCCTTGCCATTATTATCACAGCAAAATGAATACAGACTGAACCTCCAAGCAGCTGCCTATTCCTTGTCTCTCTGATATAAAAGTGATCATTTTAAGCTATAAGAACGTGCCAGAAAATTGTTAATGGAAACGTTTGAGCTGCATGCACTACAAAATGTTTTATTTATAGCAGCAAATAACAGCATAGAGCACTGCTGATTTTGACTCTGTTTCACAGTGAGGGTTAACAGCATACAAGCTACACAGCAGGGCTATGCAGCATAGAGCAAAATGAGTACTCACCAGTGCACTGCAGTATTACAGTAAGTATTTCTTTTCCTTCAGAAGTACTTGACATTTGGAACTTATGGAAGATCCTTTATTCACAAGACCTTAAAGCCACACAATTGAAATACATGATTCAGATAAAACACGGGGCATAAAATACACTTACCAAATAGAGCAGAAAGGTGTGAAGACCTGTTCCAAGTCCGACAGAGGACAGGATGCCCAATCCTACCCAGTAGGCACACCAGAAGAACTTCTTCTCCATGTACCGCACATACTGAAAGAGAAATCACAAAAGAGAAGAGAAACAATTGAGGTGATGTCTCTCAGAGGAGAATGTTAGAGCTACAAGCTAATGCAGGTGGTGGTCTGCAGGATAATAACTGAACCAGGTTCTTCCATTTGCAACTTACTACAATTACAGCAGAGACTTATACAAAAAACACTCTGACAAGAAAAGCCTTCAGGCCTTATGATCAACAAGTTTTCAAGGAGAGGAATGAAGAATTGAGGACATTACAGGCTGCACAAGCCTTGCCAGTCCCACAGGTGCCAGGTTTCTCCCAGCAGCCTCCTGCAGAGCTCTGGGGAGGCACTGCCCTGCTCAGCACATGGCCAGCAGCAACCTCAGAGCAGTGCACCTCAACACCAGTTTGTAAGAGCCATCTAGTGGTGATGAGCATCCAGCTCTGCTCTTCATGCTGATGAAGGCACCAAAGCAGGACTTTTTGGGCATCAGGAAGAAATTGTCACTGCTTAGGGCTCAAGCATGGGATTGAGTGAGGATGCTATGAACTGAAGCATCATTTCACTGCATTACAAGACCTGTTCTAGAAGACCAAGACTCCTTTTCCAGATCTGTGTGTCCATCAGTTAGAAACACACCATAGCAGTATGAATGTAAGCAAGTCCCCCGAGTTTGGGAACATGCTGATTTTCAGAGTAACAGCACTAAGATGAGTCAGCTGCACAAGGAAACGTCCTGCTGGGTTAACAAGGACTGCCTCCAGGGAAAATCTGAAACTCAAGGAGAAATGGAGAAGGGAAAGGAATAGACATCATCTCTTTATGCTTGGGGCAAGTGCCTGCACTTCAAGTGATGCAAAAGCATTAATTATCATGTAATCCCAAACAACTAAGTTTTTAAAACAGCCATTTTAAGACAATAGGCACATAAGATACAACAGAGATAGGGATCTGAGCCATGAAGCCATTTTATGTTGACATCTACGCCTACCCTGGTTGGTCAGGACACCCTTCCATAGCAGAAGAAACATTTCTTGGAAATCCATGAAGTTCTACTATGACTCAGATCAACATATTCCCCAGAGCTCACACCACTATTGAAAACTTGTTCACAACTAAAGCGAAGGAGTGCTGCAGCATCAGAGATGTGCTTACTCAGTCAAGAATAGAAGAGAAATGGAACACCTACATATGCAACAGAATAGATGACATGATACAGCTGATCCTCCCCCATCTTTCAAACACAACACACCCACACTCAATACAAGGGGAGTGATGACCAACAACAAACCTTAAGCAAACAGGGGTTCAAAAGACACGTTACAATCTCACAAGACCCCATTCAATTCCCAGTACATCTAGTTTAGCACAGGTACAAGCATTATTCAGTTGAGAACACCGTACCTGTTGATGTCTTCCTTCAACATAATACGTAGCTGTAAGCACTGCAAGCATCAGTAAAAAAGACACCAGGATACTTCGCCGATGCCACAATCTTAAAAGACAAATGGCAGTTAGAGCTTTTCATAACTTTGCAGTCATTTAAAAGTAACTTATTTTGTGGAGTGGGATTGCGTGGATGCAGTCAGTAGGCACAATGGCAGCTGAAATCTGCTATTATAAAAACACAAACCTTCCCAAAAATATCTGGAGAGCCTTTGTTCTTATGAAAAATCTCTACCTCACTGATTTGTTTTTAAATAAAGAAAAACAAGGTTGCTGTCTGGAAGCAAACACAACCTAAACATCAAATGCTCAGCTTCAACAAGAGCGTTTCATACCCAGGGCAGCATTCATGATCAAGCAAAGTACAAAGCAGGCACTGGCCCTGGGGAGGGGATGTGAGTGGGTAACAGAAGGGCTCATTTCAATCCACGTGCTGGTGGGCAAAGCCACAGCAAAAATCTACACACTGCTCTGGTTCTCCTGATGTGTTGAAGAGAACCTATCTTGTGTCAGCTCAAAGTTTAATATGTTTTAACTGACTATGAAGTATCAGCAAGCTACTGCAGGTAAGGGGGAAAAGTGTTTTTCTATGTAATTTGACAGCCAGCTACTTTTGCATGACTGATTTTATAACATTGCAACAATCCTGCTTGATGCAAATTCCTTAACTGTGTGGCCACGTTTATTATCTTCTGTCATCTAATGCTATACAATCACAGACATAGCAAACTATAACCATAAGTTACCAATTTAGATAGAAGACAAATATGTAGAAATACAAGAGGTGTAATAAAAAAATACGTTCAGAAATGTTTCAACATCTAGCAAGCTGAAAAAAAGTAGCTGTTCATATCACTACAAGAATTAGATTTTCAAGAGATTGTCATCATTTAAATAGCAATTTACTCAAGTGGAACACAGGAAACCATTAAGATTCAATTTGAGGTCACCTTCACAGCTCATGGTACAGTCTGTTATTTTCTGCAATTATATGGTCATGCTACACAACACAGCTGTGGTTGTGTAGTTTTGTGTTGGGTAGTGGTACGTAACATAGATAGTGCTTGCATCCTGAATTGCACAGCACATCTGTAATAAAATGCAATATCTAGACAGCTGGGAAATAGCTTAAAATAACACCTCACATTCTATTTCTCTTACAGTTGGAGATTGTTTGAAACAGCTAAGGCAAGATGTGGGAAAGGACTGCTCAAAGAAACAGTTTCCAGTGGTAGCTGAAAGAATGTAAAATAATTGGGCTTTAGGGAATAGATTCTTTTGGGGAGTGCAAAAAGGGATTAAGCCTAAGTAAATCTGCTATTTTTCATTGCAGAAGATGAAGATACAAACTTCTGTTTTCCATTAACTGAACTTGTGTGTCAGCACATCAAACCTACCCCAGCAGAGTCAATGGACAAAGCCCATTATCACCAATCTCAGCTCTCTGCAAAGGAGCATTAGCAGAAGATGCTGGAAATATGCAATTAGCAGTTACAACTAGAATAAAAGCCCATTCCATGCAGGGTGTAAATGATGCTGAGAAGTGCTTTAATAAGTAATTTCCTGCTATGAAAGGGATCACACAGCTTAGAAGCAAAGTCCTCCTTGCAGCACCATAAACAAACATCAACACAAATTCCACGTAATCCTGAACCTTGCCCTAGCTAAATTACTCAAAGATCATAAAGTGATACTAACACATACATTGAAAGATCAGTGCTTAACACTGCAATCTAACTACAACATCTCTTGCCTTCAGGATCCCTAAACACTGTCCCATTCTTTCTAATGGAAATATTCAACTCTCAGGAAGGAAGTTTGCAATTATCTTCCATTGAGACCCGACCATATGCACACTTATGTCATTTAGGCAGAAGGTCTGAGTATGCAGCTGGAAGTGTGGCATGTTCCAGTGGCCACCTTTAAGGGACAAAAATAAATGTTTTCTGGAAAAAGAATTTTAAAGCTATGAATCATCAGGGAAAGTGAGATGTCAGAGTGACCTACTGAATCACAGCATGGGTTTCCCCAGAATGCTTAGAAGAAGTTAAAGAAATTATCTTTACTTTATGGTCCATTCCTTCAAGTTTATTAGAGTTTCCAGGAAAAAATACTGCAAGGTAACAAGTGGTTGTCTCCAGAGGACAATATTCAGCCTCTCTTCTCGGTCCCTTCGCTTCCGTTCACTCAACAAAGAGGAATCTGCAAATGAAAAGCAACAGAAATATGAAAGCACAGGTTGACAGTTCAGATTCCAAATTTATACTGATAATTATTTGTTTTGTTAGGGAGTGAACATGAGCTCCACTCATCATCTTCACTGATCACAAAGCATTTGCTCCAAAGCCATAAGAAATCACACGTCCTCCAGCACAGAGATGTTGTGGTTTTTTTTTCCTCCATGTAGCTGACAACCATTCAAGAATGGGCCCAGGGTGCAAGAAGTCTGTTAAATGTATTAGCATTTATGCACCATTAGTTTCCAATCAGCTAATACACCAGGCCAAAGGCATCTCTATTGCCCACTGCAGAGACCACATTTCACTCTGAACTTTCGAATTTGGTTCTCTTCCAAAGTTATTCTCAGACTGCTCCAATCGAAGCAGATTGAATTACATGTGCTCTCTACACACCCCAGTCACCGTGTAACTGGATAACAGCATCTGTCCTCCCAGTAAGAATCCCTGGGCTATGTTAAGCCTTGCCACACTGTTCAGCTTCTCCAAAAGGAGCCTGCCAGACGGGAAGTGCCCTTGTGATCCTGTGAGAAGGGCTCACTCATACACCACAGCCTTCTCTTAAACTGACACAACACATTTCGTTGCTTCTAACCACAGTAATTTGGTTACATTGCAGCGCCCTGTACCACTGTAACACCAACTGTACCTCAGTCACAGTGCCCATCTCATTTTCCTCAGCTGTGCTCTTCAGCTGTAAGTGCCTGTTGCTCTAGATGAACTAACAGGAACCCCACAGCAGCAAGTACTGGACACCTACATTCCCCAGGAAGGCTTTGGTTTGCTCCATACACACAAACACACATTTCTCTTTCAACCTCACCTCATTCCTTGCTCAAGAAGTTCTGTTCCCCACTTTTTCCCCACTTAATATGTCTAATAAAAATGCTTCAGCCCTGGGTTTTTTTGTAACTTTTTATGATTTTAGTAAATGCTGTAAGAGACTGCAGAGTGGTGTAAGCCTGTGTACAACTTGAGGAATCACTTGATTACAAAACGTAATTAAATATGGAACTGGCACATTCAAGGCAGACAAGAAACAAACCGAGATGATAACCATCTCCACATCACACAGAGCATTCAGTGACACAACGGTCTTCATTAAATGTTCCCAGGTTACTTTTCACAAATTCTAAACAGCAATCCAAGCTGATTTCAGACATACCAGTAAGAAAAACAGAGGCAAGGCAGGAGATGAAGCTGTTAACTATTTTGCCAGTGACGTACACTTGAAAATGATGAATTACAGTGAAGTTGTCAACAGAAAAACTAGAAAGTGGGAGACTGAAAACTGGATTTCTCCCAGAGCAAAACAGATTTTATTACCCATACCAACACAAGTTTTTAGCTTGCAGCCCCTACAAGCGTTAGAGGATCACATGCATACGAGCTACAGAGTGAGAACACTGGAAGGAGAAGTCTATAAGAGAGAAGCTGAATGGCAGCAGATAGCATGAAACCATTCTGTGGCTTTACATGACATAAGTTCTCCAGATTTCAGATTGAAGTTTCCAGTACTGATTCAGGTGTCTCCTTTTGCATTATCTGGGCATAAAGCATACCAACATAAATTCCTTTCAAACCCTGTGCTGGTCACTTACACACCAAGCTGACCAGCTGAAAACATGAAGACATTTCCTACCTACCTGTGAAGTTTCCATTGTGCTGTTCTTTGCTCATTCCTATGCGTCTCTGGTCACAATCTGTTCCATTCTCTGCCATTTCATAGATCACTCACGTGCAGGGATCTAACAGAACAAAAGCAAAGAGCATCATGTCTCCATTGCAGGTTACAAAGACTCTGTTTACTCAGTAGTCAAAGGATGCATGCAAACACCCAGCAGCTCCCCAAACCACAGTTATCCCACATTCCATCATGAAAAAGCAGAAAGTGTTTCCCCTCCCACAAATGACAAAGTTGAAAATATTTCCACCTACAGAAATCCGAATATTTGCACTTCAATGACAAAACTCCCTCACTTCTGTGACTGAACAAAAGCTTGTGAAACAGCCCTTCCACCCACCAGCCCACTGCTGGTGGTCCAGGAGGAGCAGAGTATTGCATGAGTTCCCATTCATTCCCAAAGCAAAGCTCAGGGTTTGACTCCCATATTAGAGAGCATCTATTCTGTGGGTAAGCCTCCAGGTAACATGCAAGCAGATCTCAAAATGCTCCCAGATTAAAAAAAGAACCCCTCAACATGGTAACTAAGGTCCAGAGTTGCATCTCACGTCATACAGTCTAATATCTTTAAAGCAGAAAAGGAAAGCTCTGCATTGCCTGATGGAAAGCTTTCGGAAAAACCAATGTTCTCTGCAAGTTCAGCCTCTCTTCTGATGAGATCAGCCTTAAAGTTTCACAAGAAGCATTGTGGTTTTCCTTATCCAGGAAAGGAAATAGCACAGCAACTGGAAGCCAGCATAAAACAGAACATTGCAAGAGCTGCTTTCATTCTGCACATTTGACAATGCTTGTGCAACTGAACGCAAGCAGCAGCCAGAGCCACGGCATTAAACATCCTCCTTTGAATCTTAAACCAGCCTCTGGAATTTCATTTTGGAGAATAGAGTCCCACAAAGCTAAGGCAACTCGTTTGCATTACAATTCTCACTGCAAGGAAGCTTGATTTACAGGCTTTGATACGCTGCTTTTGTTGGGAAACAGCGCGATATTAAAATGACAGGTTTTATAAAACTGCTCAGTGCAGGAAATTAAAATTTTATGGCAAAATTTCTCCTTTCATTTACACAGGCCTTCAGAGCCAAAGCAGCACTTCAGGTTTGCTAAATAGCAGTGAGACCTTGACTCCCATTTAAACTGCAGCTTCTGGGCCCAGCACTGCAAGGCTCCTCAAGGAGCTCAGGGCAGCAGAGAACTGAGGTGGAACAGCAGGAGCTCTGCAGCCACCCGTTCAACAGCAGACAAATGCAAAATTCCTTCCCCCCAGAGAGTGGCTGGAGTCAGCATAACCTCACTGCGGGGCACAGATCACTTGCTGCAGTGACATATGGATCGTATGCTGAGCCACCTCCTGGTTTCATCAGAGCACCAGATCCCTGCAGACTGTGGAGCATTCAATTTCTAGTGGTGGCACTTACACGGGGGTGTTGCTTTGTATATGCATAAGGGGATGTATTTATGCACATATATCATATCCACGTACACACATATCATATCAGATGTGCACATATTGCACACAGAAAGCTCCTTCTGTGAACAGAATTAATGAAGTGGGCATCCACAGCTACCAGCTGCACAGAGTGCTGCTGCTCCTGGGGCACCATGCAGGAGAGTTCCAGGTTAGGGAACTGCAGTCACATTTTTAAAGGTAACAAACACCCCAAAATTCTACTCAAACCATCAGTGGAAGTCACACATTGCTCATTGTGAAGCTCACCTTTTTCCTTGTGCAAATCCAGCCTTCAAAACTGAAGCCTCAGTTTGTTCTCTGCATTCAGCTTCATTCCATTTCAAGCAAACCAATTCATTGCAATACCAACTCTTTCTGTGTTGGACATGAAGGTCTCAGCTGTGCACAGTACTCCCTCTGCAATGCACTCAGTACCACTGCCACACAAAACTCACCCATCTCTGCAGTTCCCAGCTGTGCTGCTACCTACACACAGCCTCCACGACCACAGCCAGCAGAACCAGTTGCATCCTGCCTGCCTGGGAAGGCTCTAATCTGGGATTAGCTTTGCATAACACTACCTTGAGTACACAAATCAGTATTTACATCAAATAACCCCCTCGCACACTTGTGTAGGCTGAGCACTTGTTAAGAAGGTCCTGGAGTCCCACCACTCTGCAGAAGTACTCTATAAAAACTCCCATCTGAGAGCACAAGTGACTGGGAGATCTGGTGCCCATCACAGGGTCAGTCCCAAAGGGCAGCGATTCAGAAAGCAGCCCCTTCCAGGTTGCAGAAAGCCCTTCTCAATTTACCACAGCCTAATTATACTTAAAGTATATTAGCATGAGGGAAGGAGGCTGTACAACAGCTCAGCACCCCAGTCTGCCCACCTCTTTGATACCAGTAAGATACCAGTGGGTCCTGCAGGAATGTCTTCACCTGGAGATTAAATGAAATAACAGACCAAGCCAAACTGCAGTGACCTTTCATTAACTGAGTCCACGTCCTCATGTCCACACCAAACCTATGAGAGCTCACCAAAGAAAATCAAATCCCAGCTGCTAAACAGACCATCACTCCTCATGAACCCTGTAAAGACCCACAGCTCATATCCAAAAAGAAATATACCCAATGCACTGAGCAGTTACCAGCAAAAATGGATATAAACTATTTAAAAGAGTGAGGAAAACAACTTGGAACTGTTGTTGTGTTAGAGCAGTGGTCACACAGAGCTTCTTTGTGGGGCTGAACAAACAGCCCACAATGCATTATTCAGCCATAATGTTATGGACTGCACTAAGCACAAAAAAACAATTATTGCTGGGCAAAATGTAAATTGGCCAACGAGAAGGGCTTATCGAGGCTGTGACTGGTGCTTCAGTGTCAGTGCAAGAGAGCATAACAAGCTATTGGAGCAGAAGAGCATGAGGCACTGCAAGTTCTGCACTCTGTGATCAGAGAGGACAGAAGTCTCTTCTTCCTGCTGTTTGGAGGTTGCTCTGTGCTGCTGCACTTACGTCAAAGGAAAGAGCTCAAGATGAGGCAGCTGGGTGCTGGCAGGAGCTGACTATCCTTGCTTCTGCACTAAGGATGCTTTGAGGACTCCTTTCTTTGGCTTTGGAACAGTGAGGAAGCTGTGACACTAACTTGGTGATCTCACTGCTTTCCCACATGGTGTCTGAATCCCTAATTCTCACCACTTCTCCCCCAGCAGAACCCTGGAGCCCTGACTCTCCTCTCTAACAGCTACAAGTCACTCAGCTGTTGGAACCGTGGCTATAGTTCACGTTGTTCTGATGTTCCCCCCAGACACCTCAGCAGCAAACCATTTTCTGCCTTTTCTCATTTCGTGCATTTTAAGCCACGCGTTCCATCCAGCCAATATTCTGCTTCTTCCTTCTCCTCAACTTTTCTGATAACGATTTCTTCTTCACCTGCCTCCCTGCTCATCAGTCACAATAAGAAAACAAAGAACAAAAGCTGGGCTTCACAGAGTTCTTTCAGATCTCAGAAACACCCCAACAAAGGCAGCGTTTTGGACAGGGATTACATTGACAGTTCCCTGGCACAGCAAAGGTTTGAGAGCACCTTCCTGCAGCAGGCAGACTGCCCACACACCAACACCTTTAAACAAGGGATGAAATTGGTCTCAAAGCAAAGCACTACATACCCCTTAGGCTCCGTAAAACTGTGACACTCTTCACTACTTCTTCTGCCTTTGAAGCCAGTGGAACAAACACGTCCTCAGCTTTGGAGGCATTCAAGACCAAAGTGAGGGCTCTTCCAAACCTACAGAGAGACAGCACTGCTCACCAAGTGATACAGGGCTGACAGGCTCCCTGACATGAAGGTTAACAACCCTCCTAAAAGCCACAGAAAATATAAAAAGTAACTACTTTATTTTTCCAGTCCTTTAACGCTCATGGGAAGCGTTCAATTAAAGTAAATTAGGACACATCTGAGAGATGTACAAAGTCTCCACAGATACAGCTGTAATGGGCTACTTTGATAGGAGTACATTTATTCCCATACGAAAAAAAAACCCAACGTTTTTTTAACTAAAATAGTTTAATCCCTCAAAGGAAAGAGCAAGTAATTCAGTTAAAGACCGCAGGTTTCCTTTTTGTGGGTTATGCCTCTGTACACCAGACCTATTTTCCAATTCCTAGCCAGAGGAAATAACCAAAAAAAGAAGTGTAATGTTACCATTTAGAGATCAAATTTCTACTTTTCCAAAAAGATTTTAGAACATCTTTGTTAGGAAAAGATGGCTTAACGTTAAGTCAAACAATTTGCAGAAGTGCCATGTGCACACATCCTGGCAGTGTCACAGCTCTCTATGGACAAGCTGCCCATGCCCCAGAGATGAAAGGAAGATCACTGCCACGAGGAAACACATCCACACAAAACAGAATGCCTGCTAGACTGCAGGGAGGAAAGAATCTGGAGTTAGAGACTAATGGAACCAGTACAGGTCACACTAGGGCTGCCTCAGCTATCCAGTAAGAACACCCTGCCTGTAACATGAACCACAGAGCTTGACTCTGAGCCTTGTAAGTGGGGAGAATATTCTTTCTACAGCTCCCAAACACACTGATGACACTGACATCAGCCTGCATTGTTCCCCAGGTCTGCCTGGTCAGTGTGGCACCAAACCTCATGGCTGTGCTGCCAACCTGCTGCAGCAACAACACACGGTGTTGCAACAGCCCTGAGGCTGCACCCTTCGTCCTCCTGGAACAGCAAAGTCCATCCAACTGACACTTGTCCAGCCAGCTGCAGTTAAAGTTCTAACTGAAAGTGATAATTTCTCACTGCAGTTGTACCTAAAAAAAACCCAGCTTACTCCTACTATAGATCAGGAACAACAATCGTTTTGTTTTAAAATTAGAACTTATTCAGGAGAAAATCGCACAAAGAGATCCCAAAATATGCATTAAGACATTCTAACAAGTGGTACTAACACGATGCAGTCAGAAACAGTTATGACAGACTGAAAAGGCATTCAAAGACAACAACTCAGAAAGCTTTGAAGCGAACGTGGCAAATTTTCCAGTCAGAAGGGCATCCCCTGTTCCCAGCACACTCACCTTTCCCATTCCCAATTCCCACTTCAAAGCCAACGAGTGCTCTCCTCTCCCTTCCCACAGAGGTTACAAGTCCCACTGATTTCATTGCTAAGTAGGACAAGGAGCTCAGCTCCTACTAACAAGTAGCACTAACCACCCATTGCACAACTGGAAATGTGTTTGTTCAAACCCTCCTCTGAAAACAAAGAATGAAGTAATCTTTGATTACCCATTGCCAATAAGGAATAACAATAATAACAAAGTCCATTTCCTGCTGCAGAAACAATGGACTAAAAGAAAGAGGAATGTCATTATAAAGCCTCTCATATGCTCCAAGGCATCAAAGGGTAATGCCACATCCCCTTCCAACCCATGTAATTAACATGAACTAAACCAGGATACCCACTTGTTGGCAGAGCAGAGAGAACAAGGGCAGGAGAAAACCCTGAGGATGTTTCACACACGCAGCTCAAGGCAGATAACCTGCTTTCATGGCATTTTGCAGATAAAGTGCCACTGTCAAACACTGTGACACACACAGCAACCCTTCCCTCAAGTCACTTGTGTGACTTGTCAAAATGTCTGAGCAGCAAAACTGGAAGAAAGGAGGAATCTTATTGCTTCTGTCATCATTAACTGCCAAAAAAAGCTAAGAACCAGGCAAACACACGAGTGTTAACTTCCATCAACAGAAGGTAATGCTGAGACACCTCGGGGATGTGGGCTTACCCAGCCAAGCCGGCAGGACAGGACACTGCTGTGCTTTGGGAATGGGGATAACAGATAACGGGGGGGGGGGGAACAGGGAGGGCAGCCCACCAGGGGAGCAGAATGCGAGAGAATAGGATGAAAGACATTGGAATTCGACCCTTCGCAGCTGAAAGGACACATTTCTCCCTGTGTCATCAGTCACCGTCCCTCGGGAGGCACCGAGTGCTTCTGTCACAGGATGATTCTGTCACAGGGTTGCCGAGCTTTTACCCAACGAGACGCCCAGGTCCCAGGCGGCCCGGTGAGGAGCTGCCCGCAGCACCGCCCGAACCCCGCAGCTCTGCGGCCCTCGTGCTCTCCCAGACCCCACCTGGCCCCTCCCGTGCCGCTCCCGTTCCTCCACCAGCCCCGGGCCGGCACAGCTCGGCGGTTCCGCTCCCCGCCGAGCGCTGCCCCGGCTTCTGAGGACCGCCGGTCGCTGCGGCATCACAGCTCCCTGAGGGGGAGCTGTCGCCATAGAGACGAGGGCTCGGGGCTGGGGCCTGAAGGGAGCGGAGCCGGGCGGCCGCAGCGCTGAGGGGCACCACAAGGAAGCAGTGCCTCCGCGAGGACGATAAAGGCAGAGCCTCACCCGGCAGAGAGCCGCCCCAAAAGCCGAGCAGTGCCGCGCCGTGCCGTGCCGTGCCGTGTCGCCGCCGCCGCCGCTCCGCACTCACCACGCCGCGCTCCGGCTGCTCCTGCTGGGCCCGGGCCAACCCGGAAGTGGAGGCGGAGCCAGCCCGCCTCTTACCCTCCTCTTACCGGAAGTCGATGAGTGCGTAACTTCCGGCGCGCCTCGCTCCTTTCTCCGGCCCGCTGCTGAGCGGAGGCGGGAGGTGCGCTGATCCTCGTTGGCTGCGCGGCCGTGGCGTCACCTCCGGGCGGCAGCGGGGCGGCAGCGGCGTGGTGGGCGCGCGGAGGCGGCAGGTGAGCGGGGCGGGGCTCGGCTCGGCTCGGCTCGGCTCGGCTCTCCTGAGGGAAGCCGGCCACGTTTCGCCTTTCTTTCTATCCGTCGGCCTCGAATCGCTCCGGCTGCGCGGGGCCCGGGGCTGGGTGAGGCCGGTGAGGTTGCGGTGCTTCTGTCGGCGGGTTGCGCTCACGTGCGGCTCTGCTTCCCGAACCAGCGGGGAAGTCGTGCGTGTTTGGCTGCTGGGGAGGCAGGGGAAGGCCGCGTGTTGTGACCGTTCTCTCTGCTCGAAAAGGGAGCAGCCGATGAGTAAGTACGGCCCGTCAGTAAGCAGCTGCTCACAGTAAGCTCTGTCTTTCTCCGTAGCCCCTCTCCCAAAGCCGCCATGGATTACCTCTCCAAGCCCGGCTTCCTCAGCATCCTGGCGGGGGTTGCCTGCGGTGTGTGCCTGGGATGGGGCATCCGCGGGCGGCTCCTGCGGCAGCACCGCGCCGTGGCTGCGTCCGCCGGCAGCTGCGGGACCGAAACCAACGTCATGGGAGAGTCGGGAGAGTTCAAGATGGTGCTGATCGTCCGCAACGATCTGAAGATGGGGAAGGGTAAAGTAGCGGCGCAGTGTTCCCACGCGGCCGTTTCTGCTTACAAGCAGGTTCAAAGGAGGAACCCTGAGCTCCTGAAGCAGTGGGAGTACTGCGGGCAGCCCAAGGTGGTCCTCAGAGCTCCCGATGAAGAGACTCTGATTCAGCTCCTGGCTGATGCCAAGCGCCTGGGACTGACTGTGAGCTTAATACAGGATGCTGGTCGCACTCAGATAGCGCCAGGCTCCCAGACCGTCCTCGGTATCGGGCCGGGACCTGCTGATGTAGTAGATAAAGTTTCTGGTCATCTAAAACTCTTCTGAGCTGGGGAGCAAAGGAATTTGAGTGCACCGGTATATAGATGAGTGCTGAAGGGATAAAATCCCAGATTTGGGATGTTTCATTGTGTTCTCCCAGTAGAAATAAAGTTACCATTTTTTGTAAAAGATGTAAATTTGCAAAGCTTAATACTGTTGATGAGCTTTTCTAGCTTGCGTATTGCATTCTGAAGTGGGAAAGAAAATATTAGGAGGGAGTTTTTCACGCAGAGGGTGGTGATGCACTGGAACAGGTTGCCTGAGGAGGCTGTGGATGCCCCATCCTGGAGGCATTCAAGGCCAGGCTGGATGTGGCTCTGGGCCTGGTCTGCTGGTTGGCAACCTGCACATAGCAGGGGGTTGGAACTGGATGAGCATTGTGGTTCTTTTCAACTCAAGCCATTCTATGATTTTAGGCTTGGTGGAGTTGGGAAAAATAGTACTGACAGTTTTACTACCCAAAAGAAGGAATCCAGTATTTTTAAAACTTGTGCAGTGGATCAAGGATTTTGAATTGTGTGAAGTTCACTGGCTGAACAGTAGCTCCAAGGAGGTGTAAGTGAATGGGGCTTGTGCTAAAAATGTTTCCACCCCCACCCTTTCCTTTGCATGAGTTTTGTTGTTTTTTTTTGTTTGCTTTTTTGAAAGAGACATTCTTTAATTCAGAGAAGGCTACATCCTGAAGCAGCTGAAGATTGCCCCACTCACATGGAGAGAGCTGTAGCTAAATTACTGTGTTGTTTCCAATATGGCAACTGATGCAATACCCTGTAACTGGTACGAGACTGAACAAGTTAAACAGGGTTTGCAGCTCAATGCTTAAGAGCCAGTAAACACTTCTAAAGGGAGGATGCAAGCTGCACGCCTTTCAGGATGAGGCTGTGCAGCTTCTGCATCTGTAGGAAGCTGCACACAGGCAGGTCAGTGTTCCCAATTCAGCCAACGTGATGGGAGTTACCCACACATAAACAGTTCATCCTATAGGAACTAATTTTAACCTCTGAGGAGCTGCTAATCCTCAGTAAGATATGATTTCAGGAAACGCTTAGTTTTAGGATTTAACTGGGCAGAATTAAAATCACACCGGTGCATAGGTTCTACCTCTGCTCAACTGACACCCAGTACAACCAAAGTTCACATGAGCAAGCAGGAGGGAGACTGAGCCTCAAATCTGGAACCTGATGTTGACAACAGCTCCTGGTTAAGAGACAGAAGCATCTACAGCTCTGATAGGGTCAATGCTCTAATATCCATTACACTCAAATATGACAGTATTCATAGAGAAACATTTAAGTCCATTTTATTTGAAGCTAAATATATTTAAGGCAACTTACATACCTAGAACATAATCTCAATTTAACTGACACACCCTACTACAATCCTAATGTATCATCTGGTCAAAGATGCTGCAGCTGACCACAATGCAGCCCACTACTGAAAAGTGCTATTCTCTTCTGTCTGGCATAATCTTTCTATAGAAAAAGCATTATGTATTTTCTTGTATTATCCCCTCAGTGCAAGACACCACTAATGGTCTCCATTGCTGCTATTCTAATGGCCCCTCCTACCCTTAAGTGTATGCACCTGTATGCCCCATACTACTAGCACTGTAATACTTGGTTTGAGGTTGAAGGTCCTTTTTGAAAACAGTAAAGTGAAGCTACTACTATGCAGCATGTCCACAGTCCAGTAATTTATTTTTAAATTGAGTAATTTCAAATTGCACAAACAAAACTGAACAGCAATATGCTTGAATTCTCTCTTCTGTACACTCAAAACAGTGATCTAAAACACCACAATATCCAACATACACAAACCTCAGGGCAGGGTTAGTAAATACACAGATTGGAATCATGGTGCTCTGTTCCTGAATGGAATGTCCCACAAAAGCACAGGATACAGCACAACATAAGGTCATCTGTTACATATGGAGTGAGCAAAAAGACACTAGCATTTTCTATATGCATAACTGGAAAAACCTGCATAGGTTTAGGAAAAAACTTTTACTCATTTTTAAGTCAGGCAAGGTTGTCTGTATGCATTTTAAATTCTTTTAGAGCTATGCAATCCAACCAGGGTAGGATATGCTGATTAGTGTTGTCTCTGTCAGCAGTCTTGCAAGGTCAAATACAAGTATCTTCACTTCAGCTTTCTCTGAATATACAGTGAGACTTAAATGCATTTAGAATAGACAGTACATACTGTAAGCTGCTCACATACGATGAACTTAAGATTCAATATTAGAGTTTAACACTATAGAGTGCAAATCAGAATCTTCACAATAGACTTAATGGTAATAAGCAGTCCTGCAAAAGCCCACTTGAACAAAGTTGTTTAAACTATTCCCCCTTTTAAAGTAAAGTCTAAATGACATGGAATGTGAAAAAGATTTAACATAAGTGATTCAAATAGTTTGCGCTAGAAAAAACAGTCCTTCATGAAATAAAGGTTACAAGAACACGAGGCAGAACTCTTTGCTTTTTCCCTGTTATGAGTTAAAGCGGGGAGGGACGGTGGAGTTTCAGTAAGAAAATATGCTAGCTCCAAACAGACTTGTGCTGCACCTTACATGCTGTACCCAAAGCCTGGCTGCGGTTGCCCGTATGGTGGTGCAGTGTAACCATAGCCAAAAGGTGCTTGTGGAGGAACTGCAACACTGGGTCCTGCTGTCAACATGAGTTGTGGCTGACCTGGAAGACAGAACAGACAGAAGTTCCACCTTTATAGCTAGGTACTGATAGCTCAGATGGAATTCCTGCAGCTTCCCTGTTGACTTCCGTGTGTTCAACAATAATTCCCTATGACTGACTTAGAGTCTTCAGCAGCCAGAATGGATATTTCCCTAAAGGATCTCAGATGGTCAGATGCTCAATTGCATGCCTAAAGAAACACTGCTATGAGATTTTTTTGCTTCGGAGAGAATATAGATTAAACTACTCATCAGCTTAGTACTCAGAGCTAGGTCTTGAAACATCACACCTAGTGGCTTTATAACTAATAGTCCACAATTATCACAGGGCTTCAGGATGCAGTGACTGGAGATGCCTGTTATAGACTGAAGGCTCCTTTATCACTCGTTAGAATTCCTATTTGTAATTAACTAGAATCAGTGGAATAATCTGGATATGAATATACAAGATAATAAATAGCACTAAATAATGCACTTCTAGGATAGCTCCCATGCAACTTCCCTCAAGAAAACCTTTCTGTAATGGGACATGAGTCTTAAATCCTGTAGTCCCCACATAGTCTTAGCAGCAGTACTGTAGTTGTACTTCAGAACACATTTCCTTAAGACTTGCTTTCACATGAAGAACATTTCTTGGAAGAAAATAAAGAAGCGTTGATATAAAAGCCAAATATATTACAACAGATGAACCAAAATATTACCATAAACAATAGGTTGTGTTTCAGTAGCTTGCTCCTCTTCCTTTCTCAAGGACTCCGATGCATCCAGTTTATCCACCTGGAATCGAGACCAACAATTAAAACAACTCCTCTAGATGAGGTACTTATTCATGGCAGAGAAGTGGAAAAGCCTTAGTGGTATGTTAACACCCATCAAGAAAAGGAGACCATTTACAAATTCAGATCAATTCAAGTAGCAATGTTGGTACTGGTGCAGTCAAGATTGTCCGTTTCCTGAAAAAAACCCTTAATTGAGGGATTTGTGGAACTTCATTGAAAGTGGCTCCAGGCTGAAGCTCTGTATGAAAGGTCCCATACTGGACTAGAGCTACTTTGACATCAGTAAGCTCATGTTGCTCCAACTGCTCCAAACCAACAGCCTGAAGTCACAAACTCAGATTTTGGCACAGTGTCAGCTGGAGATCTTTGGTGCTGGAGCAACTGCCAGGACAGCGTTCAGACCTGGAGAGGTTTCCCTGAATATAACGCTGAGGCAAAGTAATCTGAAGTTGGTATTTGTATGGAGCAGACTGCAATAGCATCCGACATGTCACTTGAGCCTCAAGATTTCACTTTCCAAACCCATTCACTCATGCAATTTAAGTTCAAATGCAGAGAATGCATGTGTATAAGACTTGCTTTTTTTCACTCTAGAACTGTGTGGCAGTCAGCCTAAACCCACAAATACTCAACTTGTGCGAGCTTTACACACAATAACAGGACAAGACTAGCTTCACTCTGCTGCACAGCAAGTGGGATTGTGCTGTTAGCCCACCCCTACAAAAAGGAAGAGAAGAAACTTCTTCTGCAGTGAAGTATTGTTTGCTACTAAAACAGATACCAGGAAACTCAGCATTGCTATGGTCTAAGGCAGGCCCTGAAACTAAAACCATACAAATTAGGTATTGATATTTTACCTGAGAGATAAGATTTAGAGTGAAGTCAGAAACAATCACGCCAATTACTTTGTAAAACAGTAAGACAACTCGCAAACCAGATTAGTCTTTCATTTCATGTGTCCTTAATAAAGGAGCTTGAAGATAGGTCCTCCTGTACTTACACAGGGTCAGCATGACTTGTTCAGTTACAACATGAACTTCACGAGTTGAACAGGTTTCAGTGTAACTGCAATTACCTGCAGGCAGCACTAACAGCTTTCTTCCTTCTTAATTGCAAGTTACAATATATGTTCCTTAAACCTGTTAATTTGTAACCTCAATTAGAGGCACTACTCCAGGAAGTGGCGTAAGTCCTGAGCTTTGAGTTCATTCATTGATCTGGCTTCCATGGCAAGCCTTTTTGTTGTCTCACACCGGTATCTGGCTTGCTGTTGTCAAAGTGCATGAGTGTATCCTTTAAGACTCATTTCCAGAAACCGTGCTGAGAATGCACTGGTTTTAGCTCAAATAGCAACACAGTGAACATAAAAGCACAAGTTTAGAGATGCAGATCCAAGGAGAATGTGCAGAGATTGCTAATCAGCAGAGGCTTCTGGTTTACGTACACTTGGAAAGCCTCCAGCCCAGGACATTCCATGCATTTTTGACCCAGTTTTGATGCCTCTCCTCAAAGTTAAACAAACAATTCCAAGAACAAGTCTGTAACCAGCCTGCAGGATGGTTCTTACAGCACTTGCTTGAGCTTCATCAGGTTCAGTACCCTAACACACTTGTTACAAGATTGTTTAAAAGGCTTTTCCACAGGGACTGCAATAAGCTGCAGAGGAAAAGTAACATGCATTCAATGTTATTGTGTTATGT